TAGGCTGGGGTCGCGCGCCCACGGCTTCGGTCGCTCCTAGGACCTCGGGTGCAGCCGGTGAAGGAAGTGAGAGCCTCAGAGGAACCTGCCGAACGACCGTCACTCACCGGAGCCTGTCGGGGAGCCAGCCTGAGCCCCGCGGCCCCGAGATGAGGTGCGGCTGGGGACCCTTGTCCCTCGCGCTCCGCCTCCTCCTGCTAGCGCGGCTGGTTGTGCCAGGTTCGTGGGGCCGGGCTGGGACCCAGATCCCCGAATCTGGGAAGGGGATGGCTGTGTGTGTGTGTATGTGTGTGTACTGTGTGTCGGGGAGACACTAGGGCCGCGGGATTGAGTTGAGTAAGTGGGGAGCCAGGCGCGGCAGGGCGGGGGGGGGGGCAGCTGCCTGGAGTTGGGGGTCAGGCTGCGGGACACCTGGATACAGGTGATATTATGAACATCTTTAAAATATATATATTTTTGATTTCAAAGAGGGAGAGGAAGAGAGAGAGACAGAAACATAATGATGAGAGAGAATGAATTGGCTGCCTCCTGCACACGCCCTACTGGGGATCCAGGTGCAACAGGGGTGTGTGCCCTTGACCGGAATGGAACCCGGGCCTCTTCAGCCCGCAGGCCGAATAAACCGGCTGGGGCACGAACAGAGTTTAGGGGTGTGATGTGGGGTTGAGCATGCCGATCAGGCCGGGGCCTAGGGGAGAGGCTGCAGTGGGGCAGTGGGTTGGAGGATGAGTGACAAGCTGGTGGCGCACTTTGCCTGGGAACCTGTGCTTGACCTCCTCTGTCCCACTCAGGCGACGGCAACGAGGGCAGCAGAGCTGGAAGCTGTCATTGTGATAAAAGATTTCCTCCTGGCTCTCCTCCAATGGAACGTATCCGAAAACTACTGAAAGACTATGATCGCTGTGGTGGCTATGTCAGGTAATCCCACCCACACCTGAGGAGGCGGCACCAGCGCAAACCCTCCTTGCCAGGTGCCTCCAGGACCCTCTCTGGTCAAACTTGAACACCTTCTGGGAGCACCTAACCCTTCTCTGGGTTGTTTGCCTTAATTCTCCACACTTTCATTTTCCTGTTCCACCTTCCTGGGAAATTCCCACTTCAGCAGAAACAGGTTGCTCTGGGAGGTGACCGCATGTCTTTGGAATGAGGAAAGAGGTGGGAAAGGGAGAGGGGGGGGCCCTCCTGAAGCTAAAACCAGGTTGTTCCTCTGAAGGTTCCAACTAGAGTTCCAACGACAGTCCTGGAGTGTATGCGGGGGCAGCAAGGACTGGTGGGTGACTGAATTGACCAGCTGCTTTGATCGGAGCGGTGAGTGCTTTCCCCCTCCTCTCCAGGCTCTGTTACCAGGGCTCAGCGCCTCCACCTTGTAATTTCCTTCGCCTCAGACCTTTCCCCTGTGAGTCCTCACATTCCTATTCTGATGCTGGCCACAGTACTTTCACTAAGTCCCTGTTCACCAAACATCACTTACTACCACTTTCATGATTTTTTGCTAGTTCACCCTGTGCTATTATTTACTTAATATTTTCCTTGAAATCAGGACACTATTTTTGTTTTCCATTCTCTTATGGAAATTTAAAGACATACAGTATACAAAAATTGAAAGAATTTTAAGCACCCATATACCCACCACCTAGATCAGTGATGGCGAACCTATGACACGCATGTCAGAGGTGACACGCGAACTCATTTTTTTGGTTGATTTTTCTTTGTTAAATGGCATTTAAATATATAAAATAAATATCAAAAATATAAATCTTTGTTTTTCTATGGTTGCAAATATCAAAAAATTTCTATATGTGACATGGCACCAGAGTTAAGTTAGGGTTTTTCAAAATGCTGACACACCGAACTCAAAAGGTTCGTCATCAGTGACCTAGATCCTACAATACTTAGTTTTTATGTTTATATTTTACATATTTTATATATGTACATAATAAAGCAAATATATTTTATATTTTACAATATTGAGTTTACAGCATTTTAACTGTATTTGCTTTATTGCACATCCGTCTATCCATCCTCTATTATCAATCCACCTTATTTTTTTGATGCATTTCCAGGTAAGTTGCAGGCATGACTATACTTCACCCCCAAACATTTCAGCATGCTTATAGAATTCAGTATTTTATTGTTCCTTTTTTCTTTTGAGGTAGAATTTACACACAATGAAATGAATAAATCTTTTTTTTGAAATGAATAAATCTTAAGTGTACAAAGGCACTTTAAAAAAAATGGTTTTATTGATTTTTAGAGAGAGGGAGATAGAAACATCCTCGATTGGCTGCCTCCTGAACACCCACTAGTGGGGACTGAGCCTGCAAGTTGGGCATGTGCCCTGACCAGGAATAGGACTAGCAACCTCCTGGTGCATAGGATGAAGCTCAACCAACTGAGCCACATTGGCCGGGCCATAAGCTAGTTTTGAAAACTTAAGTACCAACTTGCCCTAGACAGTAATATCTGTGAAGTGATAAATATAATGCACTGGTTGTATTTTCTCCTAAAAGAAATACACAAGCATTAAAATACAAAGTGTTTTTCACATCCCACCTAAGGTTGTCTTGTGTAGCATACGGGGTAAGCTTATTGCCCTTTGAACTCTATAGGCCTACATTATTTCATGTAATACTCCCAGCTACTATGGCCCTTGCTACTAAAATTACCCCCACTTTACAGCTGAAACAAATGAGTCCCTGAGAGGTTAAGAGACAAGGGCAAGGTCACACAGCTACTTCATAACAGATTCCAACCCAAGTCTCTCTCTCTCTCTCTCTCTCGCTCTTTTGTTTAAAAAATACCTTATTGATTTTTAGAGAGAGGAAGGGAGAGAGATATAAAAACATCAATTGGCTGCCTCCAAGAATTGAGTCCATAACCTGGACATGTGCTCTGACTGGGAATCGAACCAGCAACCTCCTGGTACATGTGTTGACACCCAACCACTGAGCAACACTGGCTGGGCCCAACCCAGGTCAGAAAACACCTCTGTCCCAGTGGTTTCATGTTGCAGTTGGTTCACTTCCTTCTCCCCCACCTTTCACCTCTCCCCTGCCTTTCTCTCCTGGTCTTCAGCTGTTCCCCTGATATTCCCCTTGACCCACTACCCTTCCCTTCATCACCCCGTCTCCTCACAATCATGATTTCTCACTCCTTGCCTTTGCAGAATGTGGACATGCTTACTCTGGAAGAGTGGTCCAGCAGGAGCATTCACCTCCCCCCAGCACCCAGATTCCGGAGTCCACTGAAGGGGCACCTGCAGTCACGGACACCCCTGCTCAGACGTACCTGCCACTCACCCTGCAGTCTACCCAGCAGCCTACGCTTCCAGTAGGAACACTGTCCTTAGACACAAAGCTCATCCACTCCCATGAAACCACTACTTCCTCTGTGGGCCACAGTGTACAGGCTGGGCCTGAAGCTGGGGTGAACCAGAAGCAGTTGGATGAAAATGTGGGTCCTACAGCTGGGTCACGTGTCATGGTGCCAGTGCTGTCTCTCTTGGGCATCGTCTTCTTCCTCATTGGAGCCCTTTTCTATGTGGTGTGTAAGAGGAGAAGTAAGCAGTCACTGCAGTACTCTCCAGGTAAACTGGATCTCTGAAGCCCTCCATTGGGGACCAGAGCCTCCCTGGCAGGAATCCTGATCCCAGTGGCTTCCAGATAGCTGGAAACCCACCCCAGGCAGGCAAATATGAAGGCTATCTGCACCATGGACCGTAAGTCATGAGAGAAGAGTCAGCCAGAATACAGAACTGGGAGGGAGGGAAGCTACCATGGGCCCTGGGACCAGTGCTTGGCCTTCAAAGCCAGGCAGTGCTTGAAAGAAACACCAAGAAGATGGCAGCTAGAGCAGACTGGTGGGAGATGAAGGGGTAGAAAGTAGGAGCCATCCATTTAATTCACAAATCTTTATTGAGTACCTACTGTGTACCAGATTGTCTGATTGTTTTGGAGTCTGATTCTCTAATTCAAGCTATCACTTCCCCACCCCCAACTTCCCTTGATCTCAGAGCTTATCCCTCAATTTCTTTTCCAGATTTGCAGCTTCAATATATATCTGTGGCATCATATTCCAACAGTTGGGCTAAGAATGGAAGCTTGTGAGAGTAGAAAATGTGATTTATCCACTACCATAAACATTTAATAAACTGGAACATTCTCTCTGGCACATAGTAGGCACTCTGTACATATCTGTTACTGTTTAACACCAGCCACTGCCCTCTGTTAGAACTTTCTTTTTGTCTTTACATTGTGTAAAATTCTGAATGTATATTATTTTTACTAAAAAGTATTTTTCTAATTATTGACTCTTCTTTCTGTGTACATTGGCCTCATGCCCTTGCCCCTTTACCATGATTCCTGGCTTCAGCTTCTCTGCTGATGGTATCCCGCTCCCCCAAAGTCTCTCTATACCACACCAACTTTAGCCCTCACCTGCTTCCTCCCCTGACCCCACATTTAAGGCCTGGGTTTTCTCACCCTCCCTCAGCAGCCACCAGCTGCCATCCAGGCTGGATTTACTTCCTCAATCCCTTGTGTCACTCATATATGCCCCAGTTTCAGTCTGAGCTCACTGTCTTTATTGTTGTTGTTTTTCATTATCAAAACCCTTAGTTCCTGTTTTCTCTCTTCCAATGAAGAATGTGTCTTCATTGGGTCAAGTGTGCGGAAGGGAACAAGGACATGAAGTATCTGAGCAAGTGGGTTGGGTGACTGACTCTTTATCTCCTGTCTGAGCTTG